TGCACAGCTGGCATAAGGGTTTGCTCGCCAGTCGCCTCAAAAGGGAACCCAAGCACGTGAGTAAAGTTTGAGAGGCATTGTCTCCAAATTGAGGGGGGGGCATTCCGCGCCAAATTGTTTGATTATCAAATTTGCCCACATGTGCCAGGATCCCAAAGTTCTCTTTACTTGGGGACGGTCACCAACATTTTGTTCCTTTCGATGGTTTCTCTTGGTTCCTTCCTGTGGATTGTCACGCCAGGAAGCACTGGGAGGTGCCATCAAGTTTCTGCCGCGTTCGGCCAAGTTACCCGCCTTTAACGAAGGATTCGGCACTGCAATGTCTCAAGTTGGATCTTCGAATCTTCAATAGATTGAGCAACCTGTCAAAGTGTGAGGGCGTCTTTTTTGAATGGTACCACAACATGTGGTAGTTGAAAAAGGGAAACCAACAGACACCCATCTTTTGGGTTCCCCTTCGACACTGGGGTTAAAACGCAAGTCGAGCGCCTGGATTCTTTGTCTCAGGCGGCCCGGTGGGGCAAGCAGCAGGCGGGCATCCGATCGCCGGGTCGTGATTTTTTGGCGGTTTCTATTGGGATAAAGTCATAAAGCCGGGTTGTTGTTCTTTGACCTACCATGTAGGGCCTGACTTTGGTGGTCACGAGCCCAGGACCTTGGCTACCAGAAGATTTGCTGGCCCCGAAGGCCTCAGGCCCCTCGCCCAGTAAAGGTTCGCGAGACTTTGGAACTGCTCCACTATTCTGGTGGTTCGGGGGTCCCAATGCACCATTCTGCTGGGTAAGGGGATCTTGAAGGGCAACTCCTGGTTTGAACGCAACATGTGCAATCCCTGCCGTTGGCCAACAGCCTACCCTTAAAGCTGTCCTTGCAGATCCAGTCTAGGCCATGTAAAGCAGACATATGATGTGCATATATATATATATATACACATAGAGATGCATATATATATATATATATACACATAGAGATAGAAGGACTTGCCACTCCCCTTTTTGGCGGGTTTGATCATCGGGGGAGCACTTTCCAGAAGCGGGCAACGAACAAAACAGGGAGCACACCGCTTCCAAACCACAGAAGTGAGGGCTTTCTTTTCCTACGTTCCGTCTCCCCAAGCGATCCAGACCTAAGGGCCATGAGAAATGGTCGATTGAGCTTCTCTTTTGCGGGTGTCTGAAGGGGACGGCTACCTTCTTGGTGTTGTTTTGCTGGGGAACCACAGGGTAACTGCCCATGTTGCGTGTTCTATGTTGTGAGAAACTCGTGTGAAGAGTGGGGGATGTCTCCCAACAAACGCGTTTTTGTGGCGGGTTTTTGCAGGCGGAACGTAGGTAACATCGGGATTCAGCATGGCGAAGCCGAGAGGCACATTTCGTGCTTGCTCTCGGCTGACCAAAGCTTCCAACCCCCCAGTTTACCCAACGTCCCATTTTTAGCCAGGTTCCCAGCTTAATCATTTATCCCAGGTCCTTCGGACAAGTGAGTCCTTGGTTCGACAGAACTCATCTTCACACTTCTTGGACACTGGCCAATGGTTTTTCTCAAAGCAGGCGAACTGCAGAGAGCTCTTTGCACACGTGGACCAATCCACATACGGATTTTTTTGATGGCAATGCACCCAAGGAAGCTTTACCCCTTTTAAACCAGTTTGCACCATTTCCTTTTTGGTCGAACATTGCAAGCCTTCGGAAACAAAACACTTAAACCCCCCCCTCCAAAAACAAAAACAAGGAAAAACACGAGAAAAGAGAAAGCGCGTTTTGGTTGTTCCGGAGCTTGCATCAAACTCCAGCCTTGGGTTTTTGTGTCGGAAATGCTTTTGTTATTCCTGACTTTTTTCTCTGAGGTATAGACACAAAATCCTTTTTTTATTTATTTCTTTCTGGAGATAGGTATTTCATGAACCTGGCTGGAGACCGGCATGTGAGAATTTGTGCACGTTCCAACCTGGGCGTTCCCGCCATAAACTGGGGCGGGACGGAAGGCGGCGCCCTGGCGGCGCTGGAGCGGGCGCCGGCTCCGCAGCTTCGGGGCCACTCTGAGAGGCGAAGCGATGCGGCTTCCCGTGTCATGGGCGCTGGTTCCGAACCAAAAAGAGGTACCCTGAGAGAAGAAAGCAAAAGTTGGTAGCCCCACAAAGGGGGGAACGGATTCCCTATATTTTTTTCAAACCCGCCAAAATGGAGCAAATATCGGGTTTCAACGAAAACCCGCCACCAAATGTAGGACAAAAAGGAATTGCACCACATACCTTTCGTTTGGACCCCTAACCCAACCTGGCTCGAGCCATCCCTGTTTCCTTTGGTTTCCCAGTCATCCTCTTGGCTTTTGCTTTACCGCTTGGACCCGCCAACCCCCACCTCCGACCTGTTCCAGGCCCACTGCGCCGCCCATAGCCAGCGCCGCGGCGCCGGCGGAGTCGACAGCTGCGGCGATGGAGTTCACCGGCACGCTGCCGACGTTTCCGACGCCACGTGAGGCGCCGGTCCAAGCGAAAGGGCGTGGTGAGCACTTAGAGCCTTTGAGGGTATTGTGTTTTCTTGGCTGCAAAATGAACTCTAAGTGTCCCTTCACCCAAGGAGGGGGGGTTCTAGGTGGGTTGGGAAGGTGCGGGCAGGCACGGTGGGGGGGGGGGGGAGGGGGAAATTTGCAGGGGTTGTGCTATTTGTTTTTGCTAGTGTTTGTTTGCCGAACCTTTGATTAAGTTGTGTTTGTTTTGGTTTTGTTCTTTCTTTGTTTGGTTGGTTGATCTTCGTGTTGGTTTGTTTGTCCGTTTGGCAGTGGCACGAACGGATGGGGTGGGGGTGGGGGTATTGTTCAAAGTATGTTGTTTAAAACGCCCAGATACACAGTCGGGCCCATTTTTGTTGCGGAAGGGCGTCCCTTAAAACCAAACGTTGAGCTTGTGAGACAAACTCAATTTGGCATTTGCCTTGATCCACTCGGTCGCAGAGCCACTTTTCAACATGCTGTTTGGGCGCTGCATCTTGCTCAAATGTACAAATTGGTTGATATTTCATGCTCATCGCTCAGCTTCTTGATTTGCTTCTCTGCGACACCTCGGCAAATGTGAGAGAGAGAGGAGCCCAAGAGAAGTCACTTGCCAACGGACACGCTAAAGAATGGGTTTGCCTCAAGGGATCACCCATCAAAATTCCAACTTTGCGGTTGGTTCCCTTTAAACCAACCCCAAAAAGTTCACCCTCCCAAAAGCGCACCGTCCAAAATGACAGGTATATTTTCTCGGGTTGAGGCATTCCGAAAAGGCCCTTGTCGCCCATCTCGAGCTGTGGATATTAGCCATATCCAAAGCTGGGTATGGTGTAGGGTAGCCTGGTGGGGTTGGTTTAAAGGGACACCAAAAGAACAACCACCATTTTTGGAGTCCCCTATCTTGACACACGCCCATATCCAAAACTGAACGGATCGAAGCTAAGGGGCCTTGCCATGAATCTGCAGGTGACAGGTGCCCTTTGGAATTCAACTCTTGATACCTGGGGTCGACGCATTTGGCCTTGGTCCCATCTTGAGCCCAAAGCGAATTGATTGACCTGTTGGTTTCTCAGCAGTGTCTGTTTTGAGCCAAGATGCATTCTTTGCCGCAGCTCTTTGGTTGCGAGTCGAACATCTAAGCGTTAATCTAACCGGCGCAGAAGCGCCGGCACGGCGGATTTATTTCACCGGCATGTGATGGGGCTACAGTAGAGAAGCGCACACAAAAGTTCAGCAGACGAGTTTCAGGTTTGCCCTTGCCTACAGAACCTTTTGGTTGGCGTCCTTTTGGTTTTCCTTGGACCCCTCAAGAATTGGGGGGGCCCAATTCGGTTCCCTGGAAGCCACCCTGGGGGCTCCATTCAAAGAACTCACTCGGACCCCACCCATCGCGGGGTCCGGCGTGCAAGCGCAGAGGTCCGGCACGAGTCCTGCCTGCGTGAGTTCCAGATCCGCGACCTGCCCCGGGTCTCGCTGGTGCGGCGCTCGTTTTGGGGAAAACCGCGGATGAGAAGGCGACATGTAAATTTAGATACACTACATTTAGATAATGTTAGAGAAATAATATATGATATAGATGTAGAATCTAGGTCTAGATTGATTTAGATGTGTGCGGGTTTGTACGTATACATGTGCACATATGCAAATACACATCCGGCACGGAAAGTAGAAGGACCAGTTCGTGCATGGCAATGGCACTGCTAGACACATTCGACAATGGGTTGATGCCTCTCAGAAGCGAACCTGGCAATGGCAGTGATTGGCGATCCCTCAGATCAGGGGTTGCCAGGTTTCGATGAATCCCCCCTTCCCCACAAGAAAGAAGTAGCAGAAGAAACAATTGCTGGTGCTAGGGATTCCCTTAAAGGCAACATAGAGGATGGTTTTATTGGGGTCATTCGCATTCTCATCCCTGCTGACCAGCAAGAAAAGAAGGCAGAAGACCCCCCAAAAAGAAACGAGGCAAGCAAACAAACAAACAAACCACAAGCAAAACAAGAACAACAAAACCGAGCAACAGGGTCACGTGTTGACAAAAGGCCGTGCTACGGCCATTTCCGCTCGGCCAGATCCTGATCCACTGCGTTTTACAGCGAAAAACCGCGCAGGCACCGTCTTGAAAGGTGATAGAACCAGGGTTTTGTTCCTCCGACCCCACAAGTGCAATGGTTTTTACAGTTCTTTTTATGCCTTCGGGTTCAAGAAGTGCCTACACTTCGAAGAGTAGTTCGTGAAAAGTTGAGACCTTTCATGGGGTGCGCCAACTCTTGAATAAGATCACAATGATCTTTCAATGTGCTTCTTTCTCCAAACAATACTGAATATGTACTGCAGCAAACGAGGTTGACGCCTTGGCCACACCCTGCTTTGCTATTCACAGAACTGGGCAAACACTTCTGACGAGATTGCCAGTAGCGGTCTATGTTCCTGTGTCAACGCGCTTTGGAACTTTCCTGCGATTTACGGTGCGTGCCCACTCATTCTTGTCATACTTCACATGTAAGGAGACACGGCAAAGCTGTTGCCAGTAGATCGAAATCAAGAGGGGCCCCGGCAGGACAAGGAGGAGGTAGAACGAATAAAGGCAGTCACAGGGTCCGTGCCAGTCAGAGTCAGCACGTCAATGCGGGAGTCCAAGTAAAAGGGGTCAGCAAGCCAAGCAACACGAAGCAGCGAGCGCGAGTGTGGGAGGTCACAGCCAGCAAGCCTCAGCAAAAGAACGAGAGAAAGAGCAAAAGCAGCGCAAGAAGAGGTGTCCATGCCGCTGAGCAGTTACGGCAGCGGCCATGCAGCTCGTGAACGACGTCACAACCCCCACCCCCCCACCCCCCACCCCAGCCCCAAGAAAGCGCCGAAACCAGCAAAACCACCACGGCCTAATATCAACACGCCTCCAACAACAGCAAACCAAACAAGAAGAACAAAAGGAAGACACGTCAAGGTAGAAGGCTCCCCCCCCCCCCAAAAAAAAAAGACAAAAGGAAGAAAAAGCAAGGTAGATGAAAAAACAACAACAACAAGGAAAGGTCGAAACAGAAACCAAAGGCCATCTCCAGCCGAAGCTTTCGGCTCACGGAGCTGCCGTACGCCTGGCTCTGCCGAGTGCCATGGCGCCGCAGCTGGTGTCGCTGGAGGAGGCCTGGGCTCGGTATCCGTTTGGGGTTGGCTTTAAAGGGAAACCACAGGAACACCCGCAGTTTTCGTTGGGGTGTTGCTCATTTTAAGACCCACTGCCAGTTTTTTTTTTTTGGCTTGTTAGAAAGCGCTTGTCCCAAGCCTTGAAACAGGAGGGTTTGGAAAGAAGGGTGCTTGTCACTTTGGTTTACCCCTCCTGCCCTTTGAAGTCAAATCCGAATGGAGGTAATCGACAACCCACCCCTCTCAAAACCGAAAGGCTGCTGGAACAATGGTTTCAGCAAGTCCCTTTTCCATGGCAACCAAGGGAACAACTCTTAAAACCGAAGAATGGCTGGTCTGCTATGGCCCATGCCATTTGCTGCGCTGATTTGGGGGGGGGATTGGCAGGCGCGGGCACTGGGCCTGGCGCCCGTGCCCAAGGGAGGCTCGGAGTACGAGCGCGAGAAGGCGCCTTGGGCTCTCGTTAGCGGGTCTCAGGGCGTTTCTTTTTGAAGGGCAGCCCGTTGAATTTTGTTTTTGGGAAATCAAAATGAAGCCCACCATGTGTGGGTTCCCGTATTTTGAGACATACCCATGTAAGCCTTTGTTCAGTGGCACCTGTTTTGTCTTTTGGTTTGGTGGATTACCCACTTAAATGGTCCGCCCCAGCGAGGCTTCCTGTTTCGCCAGGGTCGCTGGTTGCAACGGTAATTGCCCGTAATATGGGGGGGGTCAAAAAGCAGAGCCCATGGCTTGCTCGACAGCTGCAGCCTCTCAAGCAAACTGATTCTCAAGGGCTGACTAACCGCTGGTGTGGACTGCTGATTGTGTGGGCTGAGAAACTGCCATGAGCGCACATAAATTGAACAGCCGGTGATTCGGGGGAACATAACAAACGTGCAGCCGCAGTTGAAAAACCACACACACACACACACACATGTCCGCACATGTTGCATATGGGATGATACACACCCGGCCATCGGGACATGTGCTCGACCCTGCTTTCTGCCTGTGGAGCTTTGGCTGAAGGGGCTATGCATCACTCAAGGTGGCTACCGCCAACCACCGGGTAAAGTGTGGGATCTACAACTGCCATGCCACTTTACTGTGTCTTTCCTGGTGGCTTGGTCATGACTTAGGAGGCGCTGAAGGAGTTCGGCGTCAATTTGAGCAAGGACCACATGGATGGCTACAGATATCGCGCGGTCCTTGAATTCAGGTTTCCGGTGAAGGTCTTTCGCACGCGGGTCAAAAGGTGCACGAGGAGTCTGACAGGGAAAGGGAAGGGGGTTCAGTTCGAGGAACGGGGTATCCTGATTGCGCCTAGTGGATACATGATGGTGGTGCTCCCATCACGTCTCAATGGTTCCTTGTTCAGGAAGGATCAGAAGCCGGAGTTTGTCATCCCCGCCCCTTTGCAGGCGGCACAAAACGCCACCTACGATCCAAACAGGGCCACTAGACTGGGGTTGCTGGGTACCTTTTTGAACCGCATGAAATTTGGTCGTTCTACACACATTTTTACATATAGATAGGGACAGTCGTACCACTGGGTTTTCGGACCTTTGCACCTTACCCCCAGTCCACCGATCTGAAGGTTCACCAAAACAAACAATGGACCCGGACCGCTCCATTTCGAGGCCCCGAGCGGGTGGACAAGGACCTGGCGCTGGTGAAGCGGCCCTGGGACGTGCCCTTGCTGTATCAGCTGGGCCCCGACTCCGTGGCGCCTCGGAAGCCTTCAGCGCTGAAGCGCTGAAGCGCGGGATGGAGGGGCCCGGCGGGTAAGGTCCACTATGGGCCTTTCTAGTTTACCCAGTTTGCCCCTATCTTCACGAAGTTTGGAGTTAAAGTACCTCATTGGATTCTATTTCTTTAGACCATTGTAATATGTACCGTGTTTCCTCCTTCTAGAGGGAAGGGGTATTGTTGTTGCGATTGTGTTTTTTGTTTGCTACCCTCCCACCAACAAAGATGAAGCTGCACAGACCCCCTGCCCAAAATAATTCAAAAGGAAAGGCAGCCATCAATGTGGCTGGATCGGAGAATTTTAGGGGATTCCCCCCCCTCCCAGGTGTTCAGCCCCCCCCCCCCAATGAATCAACCCTGTTTTTATCATCCCGCTCACGCTTTTTCCCAAAGAGAATGTGTTCTGAGGTGCTATGTGAGGACTACGAGACCTGGGACAACCCCGAGTTCAAGCTGGAGATCCGGGAGGGCATCGCCTACTGCACCTTGAACCGACCGGAGGCCAACAACGCCATGAACGGAGGCATCGGAGGTGGCCAGAGCCTCGGTGCGGCCTCCGTCTGGTCACCGCTGGCAGCTCCAGCCGGGGTTTGTGGGTACCTTGCCATGGTCTGCTTTGAAGGAAAGCCAAAAGGCACACGGCCCGGTTTTTTTTGGGGGGGAGGGTGGTATTTCAAGATACACCCATAATTATGTCCTCTGGTGGTGGTAAACATAAAGTGGGTCTCCTTTACGTGGGGTGATGTGCCTTGGCAGGACACATTTTGGAACCCTGGGCCCATTGTGCACAGCCTCAGAAGGGGCGTGAAACCTTTCCACAACCAAAAGGGTGTTCCTTTTCAGGAATCGAAAGGAGCCCGGAGTCTCTTTTCGGGCTGCTTGGATATCTTTTTTTGAACCTGCTTTACGAGTGATTCCATGTGCCGTTGGCAGGAGGGAGCCGAGGATAAAAACCGTCCAAGGCCTGCACGACGCCTGCCGGATCTTGGCGCAGCGCACGGACGTGCGCATCGTGGTCTTCACTGGGAACGGCCGGATGTGCCGCGAAGCAAGGGTTCAACGAAACGGAAAGGGAAGAGAGGCCCAGCCCGTATGGCGAGCTGGGGGTACAACGAGCTCCCATGATGTGGGCCGTATTCGCGAGATGCAGGTCCTTTATGTCGGGTCGGGGTTGGGGGTGTTTAGGCGCAAAAATCCGCCGGATTTAGTTCGGTAGCGAGCGTCTGGTGCAGATGATGCAGGGGGATGCACCCTGCATCCCCTGATCTGTTTTGGCGATGCTGGTAATGCTGATGATGCATGCTGATGATGCCAGGGATGCTGTCTGTTGATGCCAGTGCTTGTTCAGTGGTTCTGTTGGTATTGCATGTTTTTTAGAAGGCTATCTGTTGTTGCACTTGCTTTGCTTATGTTGAACTCTTTTGTATCCATTTGTGTTTAAACGTGAATTGATTTGTAAAGAACAGTCTATCGGAAAGGAATTTGGTGGAAAATTTAGCTTGACATAGTATAATTATTAAACATCTGTTTTTAGCTAGAAATTATGATTGGAACCTTTCCTTATTAGCATCTAATTGAATTTAGTAGAGTTTGATAAGGATATCAAGTAGAATTCCCAAGGAAAGTATTCGAAGGTCCAAAACTTGCTTTTACCTTGCCCCAAACACTACCAAGGTCAGACAACATTGTGTGGTGCTTTTTTGTACTAACATCACATCTTCACCAACAGCCGCGCTAGCAATATTTGAGAATATTAGAATTTGAGAATGTTTATTATTATTATTATTATTATTATTATTATTATTATTAATTAATTAATTATTATTTCATTATATATACACATACATGTATACAGAGTCTTGTCTTAGTTGCAGCTTGCTTTTTGGTTTCCTTGAGGTTTGCTTACTTACTTTTTTAGAAGCCCGGAAATGCAATAGAACAGCAGAAAAGACTGCAACTTGCACGCACCCCAAACAATAGAAGAAGCTGTAAATGACACATCCCGCCAAACACACGGAGAAATGCACTCCTGCAGACACCTTCCCAGAGTGCACTCTTCAGAATTTGCGCGCACTGGTAGCCCCTCGCTTTCTTTTTTTCCAAGCTGGAGATTGAATTTGAGACTCGCACATTTTTGCGACAGCCCCATTTTGGGGTACGGCTTGCGGGTCCCCAGATCGAGCTTTTTTGTTTTTCTCCTTTTTTTCTTTTTCTTTTTTCGACGTCCTGTGGGCAAGTGAGCACTTCTAAAAAAGAACTGCGAGTCTCTTTTGAGCTAGTGTACGTTGTAAGGTGCACTAAATATGGAGAAGAATCGACATACATTTTTGTTGACGGTGGCCAAAGCTGGGCTAGTATGGGCCTTCCGGTGCTCGCTCATGTTCAACAAACAACAATTAAAGCTGCTTTTTGGTCCACAATTTATTATAACCTGGACAAACTGTAAGTCAGCAGTAAAGGTTGGCCAATTGTCCTTTTGCGGCAACCCGATTCGGAGAAAGTTTACAAACTTAGCTATCCAGGCGATAAGATGTCTGAATTCAAGCAGAGATGGCTACCGATTTGCGCTAGTTGAAATGAGTTCCTCTTGGATGCGAGACGTTTGGCGACATCCCACTGGGATCACCGCTTCCCGACGTTGCGGGACAATGTCACAAATTGTTGGTCGCAAAGCCAGAAAAAACCAGAGGAAACAGCATACAAACAAAAATAGTGCCGTAGGGAAAAGGGATTCGGAGGGGTTAGGTTGGCCTTTGAATGAACCATCTCCCTTTTTGCTTGCCTGCTTGCAATTGGCGTTATTCTTCAAGGTCCGAACCTTTTGCAATAGCGGTCGGCGTTTTTCGAAAGTGCAACCTCTCCAGAGGGAGGTACGTTTGTTGGCCTTTGCGGACCATTCCCGTTTTGTTTGGATGAAATCAAACACTCAGGGGGAGACAACCACTACCCCACGTGGACTGCGATTTCGGAGACTTGACCTTTGGGCTACTTTTCTTGTTGTTTGTTGCTCTTTTGTTCGACAATTTCTCTTGCACCATTTATATGACAGTTTCCCCAGTAGCTAGCTCTACCGGTGAACTTGTTGCAGGGGGTCGGATGGCTTCTCCGGTGTCATGTTGACGTTGGGCTCTGTGTAACAGGCTGTGAACGCTTATCATTTGCGCAGTGGCTTCAGTTTTGGATCTCCTGGAAGGCTTGTTTTGCATTTTGGTAAGAGTGGATATACTGCGGGGCCACAGAGCACAGAGTGCAAAGGAGGGTTTCATGACGTGCTCCCGCGGCTGCCCAGGCATTGCTCGCCCACAATGTCGATGCCGTAAGCGCAAAAGTCTGCTGCAAACTGTTCAGTCCGCAGAACCCGAAAGCGTCACCAGAAAAAGACTCACAGGCCAAATTCCCTAAGGGTCGATATCTAAATGGGGAAGGTCCAACCATCCTTGAAACTCGTTGAGGTTCTGCGCTGGGGGTGACCCCAAGAGCTTCCAAGCAGCGCAGAAGCAGGCCGAAAGTTGGGACCCGTCTCCTCGTTCCATGCAAAACCGCTGGTTGCAAAGGAGCCAAATCAGCAGGGTTTCCGGCTAAACCAAGAAACACTTGAGCAAATCGACCAATTCTGGTCTTGTGGGTTTCTAGCTGCTCATTTCAAGTCTTCAACGGCCCGGTTTGTGTGTGAGAGGGGAAGGGGGGCCCGCTTTTTTGTCATCGCCAAACCAAGAACAGAACGGGGCAGGCTGCTAAGGGGTTTTATCACGAAAGCTAGCTTTAGCTAGCTGAAGTTTCTCCTTGCGTAAGCAAGGTAAGGGGCTCAAATGCCGAATAATTGATTTTTTCAATTATTTGAGCCGAAAAGATTGAAAAACATCAATTATTTAGACCCCCCCCCTCCCCCCCCCCCCGGTCTCAGGCTCGATTCCTCCCTGGTCCATCCCCCCCCCCGGGCAGTGGCTCAGTGTTCAGCAGTCTCGGTTTGCCCGTTTTGGACTTGGTGCTACGAACTTTTACATGTTCCACCGATTCAGCTTGTTCATTTGAGACCTCAGTCTTCTCGGTAAACCACCTCGCAAGAATCTTTGCACACGCAGCATGCAGAACCCAGAGGTGCTTTAAGACAGCTTCTGACGCCTCTCGTTGTTTTCATTTTTCAAGGTTTGCCACGCCACCATGTGCGTTTGCGTGTCGCATCCTACGAATCTTGCCGGGCCTCTCGTTGTACACAAGCTACCTATGAATCCACTCTGTCACCGACCCATCTCATGCAACAACTGCTAGCTTTCGTTCACCCGCTCCTCAAGTTGTGATTTCGTTAAATTGTAGCGACCTTCCATGGTTGTTTATACCCCAACCATTCCGCCCGCGGCAAAAAACAAGTATACCCTTTACATAGCGGGTATACAGTGGTTGCATATCCCATTCCACCGGGTGTGGTTTGGGGACGATGGTTTTTGCATAGCCCTTATCCCAGCAGGCCGCGAAGAGCCGTGGCTTGAGTTTCGTATCCGGTCGTGGGAAGAGGGTTTGACGATGCCTCCAGCCTGGGCTCGGCTCGACTCACGCCCGGTCGGGCACGCAGTTTCAGTCGCCCTTTCTCCACATGCATGTTTAACCTTGAAACTATTCGACCAAACATGTGCCCAGTTTGGACACACCGCTACCATGGTGCGTAGGTGTTTGAGGGTCATTCTGGGGCTTCCATCTTTCATTCGGAGGCAATCCCCACACTGGGGCTGGAACAAGGCAACCCCAGCTTTCACCCCTTAGCCGCCACTTCTTTCAATCGTGCGCCTTCCCTCGTGCGCCGCCACCGGCACCTGGCGAGGCCGGCGCCATTGCCGGGGACGGGGACAAGATGCAGGGCCCCACCCCGGGCCCGGCCATTGCCATGGCCGGGACCATGCTGATCGAGGGCAACAAGATGTCGGCCACCGGCTTTGCGCGGGAGCGGCCGAAGCGTCGAAACGCCTAGTTGATTGGCAGAAAGCTGGGGCGGGGGGGGGGAATAGTATTTTCAAGGATGCAGGAACATGTGAGGCGTTTTGTGGAGAAAGAACGAGGGATGACGGACGATTTATACCTCTTGTTTTAAACAGATACGTTGATCTTTATATAGATTGGCCAGGACATGTACGCCATGTCCTCGTTGCCGCAGTTCACCATCTGCTGCATGAACGGGTCCGCCATGGGTGGAGGCTTCGGCCTTGTGTGCGCCTGCGACTACGTGATCGCCACCAAGCAGGCGAAAAGAACACGTCGGGGTCAACACGGTCGAGGGGTGATTGCAACACCTGAGTGTGCGCGCGTGAACAACTACGTCTTCGCATGTCGCTCTGAAAGTGGTTGAACTTCCGATCCCGAAGGAAGATTTCCACATCTTTGATTTTTTGTGGCGGGCAGGGGGCGAAAATGAAAGATTTGCCCTGATGTAGGGTTCTTTAAAACCTGGGGGATCCCTTGTTCAGATTTCGGAAATGTTCCAAGACATGCAGATGCATGTCTTTGGTAAGGTTACCCAGGAGTACATTCTCATCCAAGTCTCATATGGCTGAACAGAAATAGGCTAAACCCCAAAATTGGAGCCCTGGTAAATGGAAGCATGGACCAAAACCTGCGGTCCAATTCCTGGTTTCATTTTGGCCCATACCGCCCATACCCATATCCCCCGTCCATTTTTTTCACGACAAGCGACTCGCGCCCGAACGAGGCGCACGCCACGCTGTCGGAGGTGAAGCTGGGGGTCATCCCGGCGGTCATCTCGCCGCACGTGTCCAGGAGACAAAAAAAAACGGTTTGTTTTTGCTCTTTGCTATGCTTGCTAGGCTTCTCGTTGTCATTTTTTGTGAGTTGTTCTGTTCTCTTCTTTTTTTCTTCTTCAAACAATCACCTTTTTTTTAACCGTTCTGCTTGTTGTGCACATGGTGAGGGACACTGGGTTCTGGTATCACTTTCTATGATACCAAGGAAATCCCTGAAGTGATCAACTAGTCATGGGGATAGCCGACTTTGCAACCGCGTTTTTGCAGCTTGATTGTTTTGTTTGGTCTTGTTGGGTTCTGTTCATTTATGGCAGGGTATCCGTTCTTGTTGTCTGCATACTTGCTTGGCTTCGTTCATATTCAGAGAGGTGCGTTTTAGTTGTTTGGATCTTTTTATTGACTCTGTTCATGTTTGTTTGACATGTGGAGGGGAATGAGGGGGCTTCAAAGATCAAGGTGTTTGTTCATCTGCCAGGGCTTGGGAAACAGATCAGTTCACTTTCCGACAAGAAGGACAGGCTTCCTGGTGGCTTGAGGGTTTTGAACCCAGAAAAGCGAGTCACATTGACAACGCGTACCTCGGACGATCAATGGAGATGTATGATCTGGAGGGGGTTTCATGGGGCAAGCTCATGGCTCATGTGCGAGCAGTTCTGTATTGGCAGACTTCTTTGCACTGTGATCAAGATGGTGGCGTTTGCTCTAATGTAGTCCGCGTGGAATACGTGGATCAAGCCTTTTGGTTTCTTTTGGTACTCCCGTTCAGATTAATATTAATATGGATCCGCCAAAGCCAGCATTTTAGAGAAATCTCCTGCTGTGGGGACCCAGGTTTTAGGTTTCCTTGTGGCGCGGTGAGGTTTTAAGAGCACATATTGGGCAGTCTCCAAATCGGGCGACCTCCAAAATGGATGGTCTTTCCTTTGGGTTCCCTTCAACACGGCCCCAACCTGGGCCCCTCAAAAAGAGGCGCGCTCGGTCGGGACCATGGGCCGGATGCAGGACCATCGGCACGGCGAATTGCAAGCGCCTCTTCTGCACCGCGGAGAATGCGAACATGCAGCCGCCCAGCTGGCTGGGTAGAGGGGCAAGGCGTTGGGAGGCAGGCTGGCTTTCGAGAGCGCAAGAGAAAGGAAAGACGCGATCCCAGTTGGTTGCTCAAATGGTGGGTTGCAGGCAACACCCCTTCCGAGAAACAAGCTGCCGAAGGGTGCTTGGCGCGCTTCGAGAGACACGACCTCGGCCCCCGAGGATCAGACCCCCGAAGGCTCTAAGAACCTCTCCCGCGTGGGATGGGCCTTCGGCCTTCTCCCAAACCGCACAAAAGCTACCCGACCATCTAGCTTGCTTTGGCTCCTCCAAATCCAACCCTTGCCTTTTTGGAGAGATGCGGAGACTGCTTGACAGGGCCCAATGGCCTCAGTCATGCGGCTTAAAAGCTGATGTTCGCAGTTAAAGAATGCAGTCAAGAGTGTTCGACGGGCTCCTCAAAAGACATACTGAGGACGGCGATGGAGATTGGGCTGGTGCACAAGCTCTCCGCCTGCGCTTGGGGTTGTCTGTTTGTTTGAGGACACTCTGTTGGGGTGGTTTGAGAGGGACCCAAGGGAAACTGCTCATTTTGGGGCTAGCATTCAAGGCGCCCATATGTTTCCTTCTGCAATGTTGGGGAAATCGATGCTGGGATTTGGTGAGCACTTCCTCAATGCGGTCTTTCCTGATGTTTGGATTCTACTTGGTTTACTTGGGTCATAGCAAAGCCTAGATGGACGTAGCAGAAAGCTCAATTGGTGTACCCCGGTTCCGTGCTCCAATTGGCTTGAAGGCGCAGTTTTTTTCATACCACCCCAAAAGGGGGGCGGCAGGCCCATTTGGGCGTGTCTCTTGCGGAGAGGGAAGCCAAAGAAGGAACGAGCCGTGAAGAGAAACTCATTTTCGCGGAACCATGGTCGCAAGGGAACACGGTATCCCTTCAGGTCAGTGCAAATGACCATCATTGGTGCTGCAAAATCGGGCTGCATCTATTTTCCAAAAGGACACGTGTTTCAATTGGATAGCACAGGGAGGCCTTACGTGAAGGGTACAAGCCATTTCCTGGTGGATCAGAGTGGCGCAGCCGGAGATGCCCCCCTCTGAGGCGGACAGAGTGGAGTCGTGTCTATTGTTTCTACATGGGGGGTTGACAAATGATGACCCATCGCAGGAGCCCCTGGAAATGTGGGACAAGATGAACCTAGAGCCACACTTCTGTGATCCCCCCTTGAATGGGGAACACGTCCTTGGACAGGCTTTGAGGTATCAGAGAAGTGCAGATTTCCACGCTGCCCAAAAGGATGTTGCGCCCCTGCACTTTGGCTTTTTTGGGCTCCATGTGTCTCGAGCATCTCTGAAAGGCTCCACTCCCCGAAGGGGGGGTGGCATTTAGGTTGACTCAGCGCTTCCAGGCAAGCCGCTGTAACCAAGGGAACAAATATACAGTTGCAAATGTGTTTTGTACGGACGATTTCGAAATTGACGGTTATAGTTGTTTACTTGCTCATGCCACAAGCTTCCATTGTTCTTGATTGGTCAGGATGTTGATTTTTCTCAGTTGGTGAGATATTCTTAATTTGAAAGACACGCTGAAAGCGGCCGACATGACACATCATCTCCCCAACATGCTTTATTAATTTCACCGCTACATGAGCAACCCCTGGGCTTGCCGCACCAATCGCTGACACATGGAACCCACCAAAAGGGTTGTTCTTGAAGCACAAACTGCTCAAGCCTCCAGTCAGGTAAGGCAGCACGACACCTCAAGCACGGAGCAAAGTAAGCCAGAATTCCCGTTGACTCATCACCTGGTTAAAAGGATGCTCACCGAACCATCTCAACGAAGGGAGGAACCACCCAAGAATGACACCGTGGGGGAAGTAGACCGGAGGGTGGGTAGTGAGAGGATTCTGGGCGACCACTGCGCTAGATTTGAGCCTTTCAACATGCCGTTTTAGGCCGGTGTTTTCAATCACCCCCGTGTCGCCGAGGATCGTGGACAGCCCCAAGGAGTTCCCAGCAGCCATCAAGGACAGGGAATGACCCTATCCCACTTGTGGTTTCTTTTTGAGGGACCGCTGGTTTGATTCCTTCCAAACCAAGTAAGGCAAGAGGAGGGTTTCTCTCGTGTAATTGGTAGGGGGTGCTTTTTCATTCCCCCCTTCCCTTTCAAACATACCTGGGTGGCGGGTTCTTTTTTGAAGGTCAACCAAGAAAGCTTTTGGGAGGGGCTTTCAGCTTTTTTGGGAGGGCGTTCCCTTTGAAATCAAGCAACCAAGCGAGCCCCTTCTCTCCCTTGATACAATGACTTCTTTGAGCACGAGAAAGCAAGCGGTCTTTTCCTCTATGTTGGGAGAGGCTCACACCTTGTTTGGGACGGGTTTGCCTTTCCAAATCGACCAAACAACAAAGGACGCATGCCTTTGCCCTTTGTGTTTGGGAAGGGTTCCCTTGACAATCAACCAACAAGAAAGTAAGGAGTCCCTTTGGTTCTTTCTCTTGGGACCTTCTTCAGATTGGCGAACACAAGACTGGCAAGTCCGTTTCTGCATTTTTGTTGTAGGGTTCCCCGTTGAAATCAGAACATTCAGACATACACCAAGACCATGTCTTATGTGTTCGAAATCGACCAGAAGCAAGTCCGCTTGCCCTTCATGAAGCTCACCCATGCCAGCAGCTGACGCTCTGTGTCTTGGGCAGCTTGTTCATCGGCTTACATAGAAATAGATCGTGATTCCGCACACCAGAATATCAGATACTTGTTGAAACAACATGGTGGCGGGGTCATCTGAGTTCTCAAAATGGGGGACCCGCACAAAAATGGCTTTGGCTTTCCTTTTGGTTCTCAACCAAACAAAAGCAGCATGCTTGAAGACCCCAAGACCCCCCCCCCCCCGGGCCCCCCGCCAGGTAGACCCCCAGGCGCCAACGATCGCGACAGGAGATGGCCTCGAAGATCCAGATGTTGGCTCCTGGGGCCGTGGGCGCCGCAAAGCTCGGGGGCCCAGCTGAATTGGGGACGTGGGCGCACGGGCGCCTTGTGTGGGTGGGTGAGTGAGTGGCCGTGTTTGTGGGTTTGTGCTGTTTTTATTTTGTGGGTTTGTGGGTTTGTGTGGTTGCGTGTTTGCCCGTTTGTGGTGTGTTTGTTAGCTTGTGCGTTGTGGGATTGTGTGTTTGCGTCGTGGCTTGTTTGCCTGTTTGTGGTGTGTTTGTGGGTTTGCACGTTTGCTGTGTTTGTGGATGTGTGTGATTGTGTGTTTGTGGGTTTGTGCGTTGTGAGATTGTGTGTTTGTGTGGTTGCGTGTTTGCTTGTTTGTGGCGCGCTTAAATTGTGTGTTTGTGTGTTTGTGTGTTTGTGGGTTTGTGCGTTGTGGGATTGTGTGTATGTGTGGTTGCGTGTTTGCCGGTTTGTGGTGTGTTTGTGTGTTTGTGCGTTTGTTGTGTTTGTGGATGTGTGTGATTGTGTGTGTTGTGGGTTTGTGCGTTGTTGTGGGATTGTGTGTTTGTGTGGTTGCTTGTTTGCGTGTTTGTGGTGCGCTTAATTTGTGTGTCTTTGTGTTTGTTTGTGGGTTTGTGCGTTGTGGGATTGTGTGTATGTGTGGTTGCGTGTTTGCCGGTTTGCGGTGTGTGGGGTGTTTGTCTGTTTGTATTTTTGTTGAGTTTCTGGATGTGGGTGATTGTGTGTCTTTGGGTTTGTGCGTTGTGGGTTTGTGTGTTTGTGTGGTTGTGTGGTTGCGTGTTTGCCTGTTTGTGGTGTGTTTGTGAGTTTGTGTGTTTATTACGTTTGTGGGATTGTGTGTTTGTTTGGTTGCGTGTTTGCCTGTTGGTGGTGTGTTTGTGCGTCTGTTGCGGTTGTGGATTTGTGTGATTGTGTGTGTTGTGCGTTGTGGGATTGTGTGTTGCGTGTTTGCCGGTTTGTGGTGTGTTTGTGTGTTTGTACGTTTGTTGCGTTTGTGGATGTGTGTGATTGTGTGTTTGTGGGTTTGTGGGTTTGTGCGTTGTGGGATTGTGTGTTTGTGTGGTTGCTTGTTTGCCTGTTTGTGGTGTGTTCGCAGGTTTTTGCGTTGTGGGATTGTGTGTTTGTGTGGTTGCTTGTTTGCCGGTTTGTGGTGTGTTTGCGGGTTTGTGCGTTGTGGGATTGTGTGTTTGTGTGGTTGCGTGTTTGCTTGTTTGTGGTGCGCTTAATTTGTGTGTCTTTGTGGTTGTGGGTTTGTGCGTTGTGGGATTGTGTGTTTGTGTGGTTGCGTGTTTGCCGGTATTGGGTGTTTGTGTGTTTGTGCGTTTGTTGCGGTTGTGGATTTGTGTGATTGTGTGTTTGCGCGTTGTGGGATTGTATGTTTGTGGGGTTGCGTGTTTTCCTATTTGTGTTGTGTTTGTGGGTTTGGATTGTATGTTTGTGTGTTTGTGGGGTGTTTGTTTGTTTGTTTGTTTGTTTTGTTTGTTTGTTTGTTTGTTTGTTTGTTTGTTTGTGGTGTGTGTGTGTGTGCGCGTGTGCGTGTGGGTTTGTGTGTGTGTGTTTGCGGGTTTGTGTTTTTGTGCGTTTGTGTGTTTGGGTGCTTGTGTCTGTGTGCTTGTGTCTGTGTGTCTGTGTGTCTGTGTGTCTGTGTGTCTGTGTGTCTGTGTGTCTTTGTGTCGGTGTGTTTTTGTGTCTGCGTGTCTGTGTGTCTGTGTGCTTTGTGTCTGCGTCCGCGTGTCTATGTGTCTGGGTGGGTGCCTGTCTGTGTGTCTGTGCGTCTCTGTGCGTCTCTGTGCGTCTCTGTGCGTCTCTGAGCGTCTCTGTGCGTCTCTTGCGTCTGTGTGTGTCGGTATTGCTTTTGTTTCTGTCTGTGTGTGTGTTTGTGTGTCTGCGTGTGTCTGTGTGTGTGTGTGTGTGTCTGTGTGTGTCTGTGTATGTGCATATGTGTGTGTGTGTTTGTGTGTGTGTGTGTGTGTGTGTGTGTGTGTTTTTGTGTGTGTGTGTGTGTGTGTGTGTGTGTGTGTGTGTGTGTGTGTGTGTGTGCGTGTCTGTGTGTGTGTGTGTTTGTGTGTGTGTGTGTGGCCCCCCTGTTCCTAAGGGGTTTTGCGGTCGTGCCTTTCTCTTTTTCCCGGAAGCATTGCGAAGGGTTCTTCTTCTAAAAGCGGCTGCCAACTTCACCTGCCAACTTCTCATGCCAACTTGTCGAGAGTTGCTTCACCTGCCAACTTCTCATGCCAACTTGTCGAGAGTTACTTCACCTGCCAACTTCTCATGCCAACTTGTCGAGAGTTACTTCACCTGCCTACTTCTCATGTCAACTTTTTGAGAGTTACTTCACCTGCCAACTTCTCATGTCAACTTTTCGGCTGTTATCTCATTCTACTAAAAGCACAAGCTAATTTGTCGGGTGTTACTTCACTATCCTAAAAACACAAGCTAACTTTTCTGTTCTACCTTCACTTCTCGACTCTTAATTCTTCTTCTTTTTCTGGCGGGGGTAGGCCCGACAGGAGCTTACGAAACGCACCCCTCTGCGGAGATCGTGCGTGTCGAAGCGCTCTCGCTGTGGCGCCGTGCGAATTTGTCTTGAGCCCGGCGAACCCTCTGCGGAGATCGTGCGTGTCGAAGCGCTCTCGCTGTGGCGCCGTGCGAATTTGTCTTGAGCGCGGCGAACCCTCTGCGGAGATCGTGCGTGTCGAAGCGCTCTCGCTGTGGCGCCGTGCGAATTTGTCTTGAGCCCGATGAACCCTCTGCGGGGATCGTGCGTGTCGAAGCGCTCTCGCTGTGGCGCCGTGCGAATTTGTCTTGAGCGCGGCGAACCCTCTGCGGAGATCGTGCGTGTCGAAGCGCTCTCGCTGTGGCGCCGTGCGAATTTGTCTTGACCTTGGCGAACCCTCTGCGGAGATCCTGCGTGTCGAAGCGCTCTCGCTGTGGCGCCGTGCGAATTTGTCTTGAGCCCGATGAACCCTCTGCGGGGATCGTGCGTGTCGAATCGCTCTCGCTGTGGCGCCGTGCGCATCTGTCTTGAGCCCGATGAACCCTCTGCGGAGATCGTGCGTGTCGAAGCGCTCTCGCTGTGGCGCCGTGCGATTTTCTTGCTCGCGAAACGGCTTTTGGAAGTTGTCTCGTGGTGTGCGCGCCTGCTTTCGCAATCCCGCGGTCCCGGGTTCGATTCCCCCTGGTCCGCGGCAGCTCCGGCTTGAAAATCGCAGCTTTTAAGTACAAACGTAGTACGCGGAGCGTGCTCCTGCAGCTCCGGCTGGAAAATCGCAACTTTTAAGTACAGACGTAGTATGCGGAGCGTGCTCCCGCAGCTCCGGCTGGAAAATCGCAACTTTTAAGTACAAACGTAGTACGCGGAGCACACTCCCGCAGCTCCGGCTGGAAAATCACAACTTTTAAGCGTACGCGAAGTACATTCCCACAGCTCCGGCAGCACTTGCTCAGAGCAACTTGCGCAGAGCAACTTGCGCAGAGCAACTTGCACACTTGCGCAGAGCAACTTGCACAGAGCACATGCGCAAAGCGCTTGCACGGAGCAACTGGCGCAGAGCAACTTGCTCAGAGCACTTGCGCAGAGCAACTTGCATAGAGCGCTTGCGTGCAGCAGCTTGCAGAGAGGAACTTGCGCGCAGCAGCCTGGAACGATGCAGCTTGCGCAGACCACTTTCGTGAGAAATCGCGCGGCGCAGTTCGTGCAAAGCACATTGCGCCGAGCAGACTCGCGCAGAGCCAACTTGCACAGAGCCAGTTGCGCAGAGCCACTCGCGAAAAGTAGCTTGCGTAGACCCAACTTTCACAGAGCCAAGCTGCGCAGAGCCATCTTGCACAGAGCTAAGTTGCGCGAGCGTGCTTTGCAGAAACTGTGGCCGTCGTGTAAGCTTTGCTATTGATTGCTCTTCCTTTTGCTTGTAATTCGTTTCGAGCTTTACGAGCTTTACTCTTCTTGTTTTAACGGATGTAAATATGTGGGATCGAGCACTGCCATGTTTCCTCTCGTAGGACGATGAGATGGAGCTCTCATGTGACCATACGCATTGAGCATCGCCGCGCGCGGACACGCTCGCCGCAGCGATGTAAAAAGGTGTCTCCGCGGCTGGATGAGCACCTGGGGAAAAATGCTTTCGGGCCAATCGTCCTCTAGTTGGAGTCGAACGCCACCTTGCTGGATGTCTCAACATGAAGTAGTGTCACCTACCGATGGCGTTCCTGAAGAGGATGGTCGGTGGCACGAAAGATGTTTGAGCATGCAGTAAGCCGAAACTCCATTGCCCTGCCGGAGACCTTCAAACAGCCTGTGCCTGCATGGGGATGCGCCCTGTCAGTTTCGCCGTCTCATATCAAGTGTGTTTAGGCACTGCGTCCGGGCTTCGGTCAGTGTCTTGATCCCCTTTGCGGGCACCTGTTATGACCCATGTACCGACACCTTCTTCAGACAACCACCGGACCTTGTCGCTCGCGACTCTGGAAATTCCCCTGTTGACTTTTCGCCGTTGACCATTCACCACAGGCTTGGACATGTTCCAGACGTTTCAGCACCCCAGATTATGTCACTTTTGACTTCCCCATTTGACCTGCTGCCAGACTACCCGACATATCAGGCATGAATCCATGACGCCGCCAGTTGGTTATTGGCTCGCAATTGCAGGCAGCAGATGCCACGGCCCAACGCAGGCCCGATGTCGAACTCAGCAGGCCCCATGACCAAGGCATCCAGGAACACTGCAGGCCCTACGCCACCTAGATCACCAGTGCACCAGACAGCATCACCGAGCAGGAGTGCGCTTGTGACACCAACCTCTAGCATCTCTGGCGCGGTGTCCAGCACCTCAAGGGCTACCAAACCTTCGGTTCCAGCTCTTGCTCCCGGTGACGCCTCGGCATCGATCCCTACCTTGCCTGTCTGGCCTGCATCAGTAGCTGGCCCACTGCCGCAAATCCTGGTGAAAGCGCGCCCAGCCACACCGATGACTCCGATGACTCCACAGCACCGACCCCTATCGCACCGATCCCTACGGCAACCCCATCAGGTCAGATG